ACGCTGGACAATTCTGTGGTCTGAAAGCTGGGGTTTTTTTTTCCAAAATGTTATTAAAATCATCTTAACCATTTTTGTTGGAAGGGGAAAAATTAATAGTTATTTTGTGGTTTCATACACAACATTAAAACAACAGTCTGGTTTTCATTTAAACTAATAAAAGTATGGAAATTCAAAATGAAGGCTCTCCTCATGTCCTTAGATCAACTTCTTGGCCTTGGTAAATTGCACAATGGATGAAGCAGGAGAAAAACCTCAGTCTCACAACTCGGAGCATTGTTTTTGCATACAGTTTGGCTTTTTTGTTTCTGGATTTCAGAATTGGCATCAATTTACTGTCTGTCTTCTCAAGCTATAAAAGCTTCCTCAGTTTTGTAAATTTGTAGCAGTTTGGAATTCAGTGAACCACAGACATTATTTTAAAAACACCTAAGCAATAATTAAGCGAATTGGTTAGCAAACGTACATCAGTAATTGAATGAATACACTTCTCAACTTTGAGATACAAACCTGCCTCTTTGGGACAATGGATATTAGTCACTTCTAGTTTATGGCATGGTCAGAAGGAGCCCCAGAGGCAGCGGCACAGCGGCAGCACAGGAAACCCAGCCAGCCCCAAGGGAACAGCCCTTCCCCCTGTCCCTGGGCCAGGCCCGGACACAGCCCCCGGCCCCCCGCTGCAGCCGCCTCCAGCCCGGGCCTGGCCGCGAGTCCAGGGCACTCGTGCACGCAGGGGGCTAGCATGGCAGCGCTGCCCCTCCGTTTCCAGCCTGCAGGCTCCCTTCCAGCCCTGCTTTACCCAGGGACAGGGCAGGACTGAGTCTGGAGGAACTCCTCAGTGTTTCTGGGGTCACTTCTCGCCGGTGAGCAGCCTGCCACTGTCCCCAAGATGCCTGCAATCGCTGGACAGTATAACGTAAGGGTGTCCTGAGCCTGTGCGTTATCCCATCTCCCCAAGGCTCTGCAAAGCGACTTCTTCCCGAAGCTGTTCCTTCCCTTGCTGCTGTGAACGAGCCGCCCTAGCTATTTACAGCCCTTTGATCTGTTAAGTCACAGCTCTGTCACTTCTGGCTGGTGCCCACACCCTCAAAGCTGCTTGCCCCCCTCCCTTCTCTGCTGTCCTGGGAGGGAGCTTGCTCAGCTGGGCACGTTGCCTGCCTTCATCCGCTTTCCCCAGCAGCCCTGGCCAAGCTCCATGGGTACGTGTATACTTAAAGCTGATGAAGCTGTGACTTTGATGACGGAGCTACCGTTCAGCACCCACCCCCAGTGACCCCTAACACCACCTGAAACTTTATAGCTTGTGAAGACAGGTCCATAAAGCAGTGTTAAGTCTTAAACGAGGTACTTGAGAGCCAACTGGCTGGCTCAGCTATGCCAAAACTTCATGTTGTACCTGCTGAAGCACCCCATCTAATAAGCATTTGCCTGAGCAAACTTTAACCAACAGGACCTTCCCCGTGCGGCAGCCCGTGTGTGCTGCAGAGCAGAGGCAGGGGACGGGCTCGGGCACCTTGGCACCTGTCCCCCCCAAGCTGGGCAGTTGTCTCTGTCTCAGATGCATTCCCACAGCCCGGAGATTTCCGCTGAGCTTTGCTGGGGGAATTTGCTTCCCAGGCTGGGCGAGGCCTTGTTTACTTTTTTTTTCTCCCAGGGAAAAGGAGTTGCCAAAGTAACCTGACCAAAGAGTAGTGTTCTAGATGGGATGCTGCAGCTTCATATTTGTTTGCTTGTTTATAGGACTTCTGTACTCTTTCGAAGCACAGCAAGAATGTGTAATGCATTGTGATTATTTGTCACAGCTGTAGGAAGGGGGCCTGGTGGCGATGGACATCTCAAAACCAGATACGCAGAGCCCTTACGTGAAAGAGGGCAGAGGGGTTTCTGCACGAGGTCCGTCCCCTCCCCTGTGCAGCGAGTGTTTAACAGCAGCTCTGTTCCTTGTCTGGGCTCCTGTGGTCTGCCAGGAGGAGCTGGGACAAGCACTGCTGAAAGCGCCAGCATCGCTGCTCAGTCCTAGCAGTAAAGAGCCCTCGAGATGGTTCCTGGGTGCTGGCACCATGTGCCTCTACTGTCAAATTCATGGCTTGAGCAGGGAGTTAGCGTAGGCCAGGGAACATTTCCAGCAGAGTGGGATACGTGAGGTCCTCTTGTGCTGGCACCCCCTCCTCCGGGGCAGCCCTCCAGCTCGCCCCTCATCCCTGCTTAATCCCCTCCCTTCCTCTCCTCATCACAGGCTTTGCCAAGTGCCTGTGCCACACGGTGACATCTCCCGGCTGCAGAAGCTGGAGGGAGGCAGTTGAAGAGCGGAAGGATGGAAGAGGATGGAGATGACAGCCTGCAGGAGACTCGCAGAGCTGGGGGAGTCCTGCCAGTGCCGGGGTCAACGTGAGACCTTTGAATAACACAAAAAACCAGCTGTCCTGGGTTGATGAGTGTTTTCTTCTGCCCCCCACGTTTCTCTGTTCCCAAGCATATTTGTGTTACAATTTGTGAAGGTTTTTAGGAGGGGCATTTCAAGGTTTATTTCTGATGGGATTTGAGATGGGAATCTGACTTGTGATCCTCTGGTGTGCTGGTGATTGGGTAAGGCTGGTGTGGGTGCGGAGGTCATGGTAGGCTGGGGGAGACCAGCCCAGAACCTGTTAGAAGAGCACTCTGTACATAAGGTCGCTGTTTCCGAGGAGGAGGCAGAAAGCAGCCTCTGAAATCAGTCTTCTCCATGATGAGCAGAGGAATAGGGTGCAGAGTCATCACTGAAAAAATATGCAGCTCGATTAACAGCGGGATGGGGCAGATACCTGTGCAGAGCCTGGTGGGTTTGCAGGTGAGAGGTGGTGACTGCAGACCATGCATCCTTCCATAGGAGGCACCAGTCTGTGGAGAGGGGACTCGATATCCTTGGTGCACCCTCTCTGGTGGTTCACCAAGTCTTCCGAGACATTGTAGGCTTCATGGCTTACTGAGTGAGTCTCTCAGAGGACACTGAACAGTCCTGCACATTTTGGGAGACCATGTGGAAATGTTACCGGAACAGACCAGTTGTAACAAGGACTCAGCACCTGTAGACTTGCACAGCTGAAATGGTTGCCCTCAGGTTGGTAAGAGCTGGGGTGACACCAGCCCTCATCTCCACTCTTCCCTGCTCATTGTCCTCCGCATGTAAACAGACTTTAAACACCGGCAGCCTCAATGCTGTTTGAGAAGGGAGCATGCCAGTAGCGGTAGTGGGATTGGACCTTGGTGCAGGCCGGTGGTATGTAGGCTTTACAGGTTTAGTGGCAGTTGTTGCAAAGACTTCTCAGCATGCCTGAACGTGCTCTCAGATGTGTGAGAAAATACTGTGCCAGTGCTGCTGGACCCCTGGCCCAGGCTGGCTCTGCACGACTCAGGAGTGCCTGTGTCACGGCACCATGCACAGAGGTTTGATTTGTCGCCCGGCTTCGTAGATTCATTTGTAGCCTTGGCACGGCAGGAAATATCAGTTCCCGGGGAGAGAGTGTGTGCTGGTGGAGTGAGTGTGGGGATGTAGCTGTCCTGGTTACAAGTTCTGAGGAGCAGCATTAGTCATGACAGCAAGGTCAGTCGCACAAGCATTCAAAGCACATGAATTGCAGTCGCACGGAGGTGGCTGTGGCACGGGTAGGGAATGCAGGATCCTCGCTCAGTCCCCCCAACTCCGGCTGGCGCACCAGGGTGGTGGGCTCCAGCCCGGCACTGCTCCCTGCAGGTCCAGCACTGCGGCTGCAGCAAGGTGTTCCCGGCCATGTCTGGGTGAGTCAAGGTGGTCCCCAGGGATGGAGACCCCCTTCGATGGACCTGCAGAGGACTTTATCCAGTTTATTTCTGTTTCACTTGTACTGGGGCACAACAGACTGCACAGCATGTCCAGTTACAGCCTCACTCCAGGGGAGTACTACATCCCCTTGACCTGCTGGATGTTCTCACACTGGGCTGGTTGGCCTTCAGTGCTGTGACTTCCGACCAACTCGGTGTGCGTGAGCCTGCAGATGCCTCTCAACTGCAGAGCCTCGCGTGGAGACCTGCCCCCTCCAGCCTACCCAGCCTGCCCCTCGCGTGGGGCTTGTCTGTCTTGGGGCAGGACTTCTGCTAAAGTCCTTCTGCAGATAGCACTCCACATCTGGCCTGCTGCCGGTGGGAAGTGCCATGGTGGGTATAGCCATCAGCTGCTCCTTTCTTCATACAGCGTGTTCTTCATGTTGGCTGAATTTTGCGCAAAATGAAGCCCCTCTGTTGTTCTTTTGCCTCTCGATGTCTAATCTGCAAACCGGCCAGCAGTGTGCAGTTTTGCATGTGAGAGGGAGACCGCTGTGATTTAGTCTTTACACGTCCTCCTCCAGCTCACAGAAACATTGGCTGTCCATACGGTAATCGGACGAGAGATGTGGCGCCTAACTCCACATCCAGTCAAAGCGTTGTGTTTCGCTTTGGTGTGAAATAAAATAGTATTTGAATGCACAGTGAGGCTACTGCTACTTTGTGCAGCTTTTTATGAGGATTATAACATTGAGGCAAAATGCACATCTTACTGAAGTTAGAAGAATTAACCATAGGGAGGAATGAATTCATGTTTGCTCTGAAATTTTCTAAACTGCTTTAAAATGTCGTCAGCTGGAGGAGCTGAACTTCACTATGAACCCTTTGTGTGCTGAAGTGCAGAGTTTTCTTCCTCCATTTGAACAGAAGTTGCAGGGCTATTTTCCCCAGAGATTGCAGAGTCCCTGTGTTCATTTTGTTGATGCGTGAAGTTTTTGCAGAGTCATACAATCATTTACTTGATGTGCTAGGGGCAACCCAAGCCTCTTATTCCCATGTATTCACCCTCTGAGAAAAGATTTGGGAAAAAAAGTCACTGGTCATCGCAGTTTCACGTCAGATGCAGCTGGCAGAGAACTGGGAGGTAAAGCACGGGCGGATGGGGGAGGGTTGCATGTGAAGGGCACACTCTGCATAATGCACCATTAAAACTTCATGCAGAGATGTCCCAGAAAAAATACTACAAAGCACTAGGCTTGACATTAAATTCTTCGTTTTATCAGCCTGTTCGCTTTCAGGAAGGATTAATCAGTGTAACCGCAGCATTCACACACTGCGTGTTCCGAGAGAAAAGGGATTGTCTGATTTTTCTTTTTCCTTTTTTTTTTTTTTTCCTTTCCACAGTAATTAATGAAAGTCAAAAGCAGCAACTAGAATCTGCAAGCTACTCCTCCCGCTACGCTCTGGGACTTTTTTATGAAGCTGGTACACGGATTGATGTCCCCTGGGCTGCACAGTATATCACCGATAATCCCTGCATACGCTTCATCTCCATCGATAATAAGAAACGCAATATAGGTCAGTGCTCCCATTATTTCCCTTAAACACAGTGACAATAGAGGGTGTAGATCATGAAAAATGCTGTTTAATTGAGTGTTGCTATTCTGAACAGAGCAAGTATTTAACTCCAAGCCGCAGCGGATAGCATTTAATGTCACATTTGGCCTGTAATAAAATACACAATGAAAGCGGGAAGGTCCTCAGAAAATCACCACCCAGCACATGGTTTACGTTACTGCATTTATGAAACCAGTGTCAGGGGATTTGAGACATCAAAATGTTGCTATTCCAAGAAAGAGCTGGGGTTCCTTTGTTTAAACATTGATTCATACACATGCCAATTTATCGTCCATCATCCGTTGCTCTACAACTCCTTTCCACTAAGCATGCTTGGAAGTAGTAATGAGTTACATAATTGAGGCTGTTCAGAGTAATTCAGAGTTAGCCAGTGTGCTTTTACAACCACGGAAAATCCTTGAAATGGCTGTGCATAGTACGGCTGCTCGGTAAAGCTTGGAGAACATCCCACAAGGCAGACACTTCTCATCTGTTTCTGGAAGATGGCACTCGACTAAGTATATGTTTTATTTATTAAATTTATTTCATATACCACGAGTGTGTTGGCATAGAATAGCTCAAGAAAAACCGCTAGCGTTTGAGTTCAGTCAGGTTCGTTAGGGGCTCAAAAGCTTCCTCGTTCTGCTACTTGCTCACATTGCGATGGTGGCCAGGTTTAACCACATCCGTGAAGCGGGGGTAAAAACCTACCCACCTCTGTGGTGACCTACAAAGCACGGTGACTCACTGTCACAGAATAAAGAAGGGTTTTCATAATCAGCTGCTGCCTAATAGATAACTATTAAGTATTTCCAAATTCACTGCGCTAAAGCATGTTCAGATTCAGACCGTGGAGACTTCTGTTTCTAGTCTCCCTTGATCAGTGGGGATTCGTTGTTTCCTGCCTGCAGCCTCGGTGATGTTAGTGCCTGCTGGGCAGGGCATTGAAAACCTTGCCTGCTACTCTTACATCAACACGCTGTTGCCGTGCTAGAAAACAGCTGTAAGGATGGGCACGCCTCCCCTTTTTACAACCATAAACCTGCAATTTAGTGTGGTAAACTGGCATGAGGGGGTGTCACAGTGCAGCAGCAGCACTGGTGGACAGGACCAGGAGCTCTGCTCCAGCTTCCCCTCACAGTAAGCTGTGGGGCAGCTGTGCCTTGTCTAGCTCAGGATTAGAAAAAAACAGGATGGAGATTCCCCTCCATCACTGCTGACCTGCCCCAGGGCAGTGCGTCTGCGAGGGGAGTGTTTCTTCACCTGCAGTCTGCACTTCGCCAGGCTCAGCCTGTGGATGCTGCCTCCTGTTCCATCATCCGCCTCCACCAATTAGTGTCACACTCATTCAGGTTGGAAGGGATCCCTGGAGGTTGTCTGGTCCTACCATGCAAGGTTTGAAGTTAGATACAGCTGTGAAGTTAGATCACGTTGCCCAAGGCCCTGATGTGATGTGAGGCGGTGTGCTTTGCCACCTTTGCACTGCTAGGTTATATTCTGTGATGGATTCAGTATAGCCAGCAGGATCTTTTCAGAAAGGCCTATTGCTCAGCCAGACTGATGCATGGGATTGTCCTGTGTCAGACACAGGACCTTGCACCCCTCCTTGTTGTGTTGATAGCACAGTTCATGTCAGCTCTTCCAAATATGTCCCTCTGTGCACCAAAGCCAGCTGGGTAGCAATGACTATTGAGGGGCCTCCAGAAACAGCAGTTTATGCTGGGAGCAAAGGAGTTGGAGAGATGGACCAACTCACCACTGCAGAAGCCCAATTTTGTTATTTCTCCTAAGAATTTAGCCTGTTGGTCTGAAAAGAAGGAAAATGAATGGCTGAACTGGCCAAACCAAAGATGCATCCGCCCTGATATGCTTTCTCCAGCAGGCAACAAGAGTGAGTGTGTAAAAAAAAAAGGGTGTGAGGAAAGCCAAATACAGAGTGATTTTTTTTTCCCCCTGGCATTGTCTCCTTGTTACTGACAATATGCAGCTGGAGATTTTCTTGCACCTAAGATTATATCAGTCATCATGTTTAACAGTAAGTACTTGATAGTTAATAGCACCTAGTAGTGTTGTCCATCCTAGCTGCCTGATTCTCACTGTGCAGAAGAGGGGGCAGCCCAAGGGAGAAACTCACCCATCCCTTCCTTACATGCTTGCTTAGGTGGTCTCAAAGCACCAGAACCAAGAACAACAAATATGGAATTACAGTGGAATTATCAAATAGCTAAGTACAGTGTCTTTGCTAATCTCCAAATGCAAGTTAACCAAAGAGAAAACATATTATTTGGGGCATACTGTTAACAGATACATAGAAACTACCAGAACATCAGTGTTGACACATACCTTTCTCACTGAAATTTCCCTCATATTGTGGGAGAGATCTGTTTATATGAGCAAATTTTTCCAAGAAGAACGAACTGTATACCTTCATCGGGCTGGAACAAGCTGTGTCCAGCAACTGAAGATGATTTCTCTCTGGTAGGGCCCTCCCTGTCACATATAAACAGTCATCCAGCCGCCTTGACTGTGCTGTCTTTCCTGGTGAACTTGCATTTTGTGGATTTTCGCTTTGTTCAAGGAGAAGTAGTACTAGGGAGAGAGCAGTGTGTGTCAGCTGGAGCAGCATTTCTGGCTGCGAGCGCGTGAGCTGAGGGCTGGAAACAGGCCTGTATTGTGTTCAGCAGTGCCGACATACGGAAATGTGAAAGTCAAGAGTGGTCACCAAGTGATTCCCTTTTCTTAGACGCGTGCAGGGCCCTGCTGATGATAGAGGCACACATGCACATACATGCCTTAGGACAACATGGGCAAGGGGGGATGAATGTGGAATTTATTTACACATATGGAATACTGCGGCCAAAACACTGGAATATAAAGTTCCTTTATGTGTGGTTTAGCACATATGCGAGTATTTTGCATTTGTATTTTTCTTTCCATGCTTCTGACTCACCTACAGAACATTTCAATGGGAGGCACAGCAACACCTCGCTCTCCCTTGTTCAGTTTCTTTTGGGGTGCCATTACGGATGTTTTAACACCGTGCTCTGCTCACTCATTGTTCTTTGCATTCTTCCGTTCTTCAACCTTGACTGATTGTGAGCCGTCTGCAGAAGACGATGGTGACAATGAAAAAGTAAGCATTCAGAGAGAGAAAGCAGAAATGCTCAGGCTAAGATTTATGTTGGGTCTCCTGGGTGAAGCATCAGAGATCTTTCAGGACAGCCATCCTTCCCAAAAAGCCATCACCTTCTCCAGTTGATGCCTGAATGGTCCCACTTCCACCATTCCTCCTCTGTGCCATATACACTGTCCCTGTACATATCAGGAATATGTACTCAACAGGTAGAGGAGCATGGCTGCAGTTCTCTAGGCATAACTGAAAGTGACTAACAGATCAGATACAAACAGAAATTTTATATTTCTGGTGTTTATACACTTACTTTGAAATATCCACAATTAATGGAGGTTTATCTAAACCTCATTACCACCTCAGATAGTAACGTTGTAGTAAACAGCATTGAACTGTAGGCATCCAAAGGAAGCAGCTCTAGAATTCTGCAAAGGAACCCTTTGCTAAACACATAATTGTACAAAAAATAGCTGCATCTATATAATATCTACCTAACAGCAAGTAGCCCTCAGAGGTCAAAAGGCAAAGTGTGGCCCTCGCTATTAAAGCCCAAACTATACTCTTCGTTTGCGTAAGATGTTGTAACCCCTACTTTGACTCATTTAGTAAAACAGAGATGGCAGATTCTCCTTCTTACGCAGATTTCACATTTTACCAGTGAAATATCTGAAACAGCCTTGTTGTTATAATTATACGATGGGATGGGTAGCAGAGCCAGTGAGTTGCAGTCTGTGGTTCTCCAGAAATTTCAGCCTTTGCTTGCTTTAGAGCCGTGTGCTTCCCTGAGGACCGCTTCTGATGAGCTGCAGCACTCTGAATCGCTACTTGTTGCACAGCACTTGCAAACTCATAAAACCTCTTCATGTAGTATCATGGAATCGTTTAGGTTGGAAAAGACCTTTTAAGATCATCAAGTCCTTGCTAGAAGATACGGCAGCATCCCCGCTCTTTATGTTTTCTCCTCAATTCCTTTATGTAGACTGCTCGAGGGTTGCTGGTTCTTCAGACGTACAGTGTAATGATACTCTTTGAATCACAAGTTTGCATTCGGCACAACTCTCATCGGCCTGTCCCCTGGACTTCTGCAATGGAGAACAAGCCAGGGGCCCATGCCATCTTTCCAGCAGTCCAGGTGGGTGAGATGGAACAGCACGACTTCTCAGATTCCTGTCTTTGTTTACACTGCTGGAGAGGAATAGAGTCTTCTGTGATGGACTAGCCATTGCTGCGGTGGGGAGGAGGTAGCGAGCCTGACCCACGTATAGCCTGTTGGGGAAGGCACCAGCACCCAGAGAGCCCCTGGCAGCTCTTCTCCAAGCGCAGTGTGCTGCCGTTAGTTGCCTTCATCGCAACACAGCCTCGTTTCTTACCTACAACTGCGGATGACATCTCTTTTCTTCCTGATTTATGCGGAAGAATCAATAGTAAAGCTGTTTCTCCGATACTGCCATTACCAGTGTAGTCTGGAGCAGGATGAGCCTCTGAGAAGGAAGGCTGTTTGCATCAGCTGAGGATCTCAGTTGCTCTTCATGAAATCACATCTCCATCCACAGATGTAATGTGCGCAAACATTACATAAGGAAGAGCCTACAAGAAGTGTATGTTGAATTCCCTGTGCGGTGTGCATGAATATTAAATATTTGTGTGATTGGCTGCTTTAAACACCCCATCAATATTTATAACTGGTCGGGGGGACAGTGGGAATTCTTCAGTATAAATTATTCCAAGCCTTGTTTCTGTAATACCACAGTCTTTGCCTTCTGGAGGGCTAAAGATAGATGACACATAAAAATGGAAGCGGCTCCTTTCTTTCACTTTGGGATTGCGAGGT